CAGTTCCAGGTGCAACAAAAAGGAACCAGATTAAGACATGCTGTCTTTATAGGGGTTCTGCATATGACTCCTGATGTTTTGGGATTATAGGCTATGGCGCCGGGGTTTCTTAATCAGGTTCCCACATTGCAAAGGAGCACTAGATCGTGCAGAACTTACACAGAATGTATGAAGAAACCTGAACCGTACAGGGGAGTCTAAAGCCGCTGCATTCTGCCATGCCCGAACAAATACACGAACCATTGTCTGAAAAACGCTGCCTCAACAATGGGCAATATTGTTCCCATATTCGCCCTCGCTTGGTCTCTTCCCACGCAGCATATGGAACCTCAAACCTCAGACATAATATAATTTAGGTATATATTATGAAACAAGACACAGTAGAATATGTCATGTTAGAATAAAACAATAGCACAATACAGTACTGTATAGCATCGCATATTACAACATAGTATAATATGAATATTTTTATATAAGGTAGTAGAATATATAATATGGCATAGTATGATGAAATATAGTGTAATACAGTGTGTCCGCTATGGTACACTTCGACGGCATGGCCACAGATGTTTCTGCACGTCCCGTTGCGTCCGAGTTGTCCCAAGCCTGACAGGACCTCCCCGCTGGAAGCTGCGCGAAAAGATTCCATTGCTTCAACAATTCACTGGCCCCGGCCTTCAATCGTCGCATGGACTCCGCAAGCACCGCCGGTGGCGCTTCGGGTTGCAGGTTCAGGTCTATGTTGGATTGCAAATTACAACAACATCCCAAGGAGTCGATGTGCACATACCCTGTTCTGGATCTCAATATGAGACGACAAGCAAGGCTCGAACCAGGAAGAGCGCAATCAGCTTCACGGTCGAGAAAACAGCTTGCAGCAGCAATGAGTCGTCATGCTCAAACCTTAAAACCCTAAACCCTAAACCCAAGAGGATATTTGGTCATGCTCAGACTCAGCAGAACCGTGGCTGCTAGGATCATTACTTACCTTCCTTCTCGGCACTTTCGAACCTAGGCAGCCACTTGCAAAGGCATCATCATCATCACCATCATCATCATCTCATCATCATCATCATCGTCATCATGGACATCATGATCACCCTGGCAACCGACCAGTGCTCTCCTGCTTGTCTTCGTCACGCTCGTCACAGCAAGGATCGTCATAATCCTCCTCCCCGCCAGCTGCATCATCATCTCACAAGGACCCTTAGGAGGGTCAGGGGGAGTGGGGTAGGGGACTATACTTCCGTAAATAAGCATTGCCCCGCTCCCCCCTACCCCCCCTAAGGGTCCCTACGATGTCATCCTTATCGTCATCACTATCATCGTCCTCATCTGCTGGTGAAGTTTCCAAAGTCCACCTTCGGAAGGAACCGGATATTAGTCAGGCGCAACTTGCATGCTCAGCCCAACACGATGCCAACCACCCTCCACCGAAGGTTCCAAACCATGCAGCCCGTTTACGAAGCTACATAGGATGTTCAATATCAGTAGCTTAGCAGGTATTTCATGGCTAGCATCGCCCAAGAATACACCCAACATGTACTCTGGCCAAACTTCCTCAGGAGCCCTATATACTCTCACCAAAACCTCAGAGAAACACTTGCTGAACCTGTTTTCTAGTCCGAACTCGAACCGCCCTAAGCTGCGAACTGTTCTTGGTGGATTATCTGGAGGATTTGATGATTAGAGTAAGGTTTTGGGATCTATTGTAGCATAATTTAGATAAGGGAGCTGTAAGGAATAACGCTGATAAACATGCACGGTTTTTTTTACACAGAAAAAAAGCTTTCACACCAGAGCCCCTAAAACTCCAAAGCCCCCGACCCCCTCATGCCATAAACCCAGGCCCACAATGCCGGTAATCTTCAACTCGTAGCCCACATTCAAAACAAATGCCCCCCCAACATGAACTTGAGAACCTCTAGAAGCTGCTGAAAAAACGAACCCAGTAGTATGCCCTGTTTATACTTCTACAACCCCAAAGCGGTCTCATGAAAGACTCAGGGCAGAAGCCCTCAATTAAGGAATATACGTTAAAGGGTTCCATAAATTGATCTATAAGGGTCTCTATAAGGGTTTGTTTCTAATAAAGGAATTAAGGAGTATACCTTAAATTATAGGGGCCTTAATATTCTGATTTATGGTCTATTCCCTAATTAAGGAGTATTGCGTTCTCTGGGAGCCCAAAAGTAAATGCGTAAGTGGGCATGAAGTTTTCCTACGGGCTCTACTACGGCAACCTTTACAGGATGTTTTAGAAGGGCTACTGCTGGGGTTTAGTAGGGGCCGTAAAAATCAAACGAGGCTTTGGGAGAGTATATCAGAGTCTTAAGCATATAGGGACTGTAAGGGGAGAATGTTATCAGCTTTCATTGCACTGGTTCCTTACTATGAAACCCGCATATGTCGTCTCAGCGAAATAGGTCTTCTGGGGCTACATCACTCCAAGCCAGTAAATCTCACATCCTGAAACGCAGAGCCCCCAATACCTCAAAGCCCGAAGCGGGGTTCTTGCTTAAGATCTGAACTTAAGTTACCGTGGCGGAGATCTATAGTAACTTAGGGGCCGAGTACCTTAGCCCAAAAAGATAAACCTTTTGAATTATATTAGGTTGATATGAGCCCCGAAAGGTTTAAGGTAAGTAATATTGGTTATCAAAAACTTAACGAGAGACCAGATTATGCCGGAGGACTCAAAAGGTGGGATGAAGGTAGGTGGGATATTCCCCAAATAAGAGTCCTTATACAAGGGATCCGTAATCCTAAACCCTAAACCCTAAGCCTAACATCTAAACGCTAAGCCCTAAACCCTCAACCCTAAACCCTAAATCCTAAACCGTAAACCCTAAACTCTAGACCCTAAGCCCTAAACCCTCAACCCTAAACCCCCTTCATGCCACCTTTTGAGGCCTCCGATTTGTGGTTTGAATAAGAAGCTCCCGGACCCGGCCCTGCACCGAAACCTAAGCCCCAACCCCTCGTAGGTTTGAAAATGAAAACGTTTCGTTGGTTTAGGGTTCAGGGTTCAGGGATTAGGGTTTCAGGGTTGAGGGTTTAGGGTTCAGGGTTTAGGGCTTAGCTGGGTTTAGGGTTTAGAACCTCCCACGCCACCTCAGAAGGAATCTAGACACGAACCCTCAAACCCGAAACCCTCAAAGCCCTTGCAACAGCCCTCGTAGAATGCCCTCTCGACGCCCTCTCGGAACCCCTCAAGTCCCTAAACCCTAAACCCTAAAACCCTAAACCCTAAACCCCTCAAGTGCCCCCAAGGCCGCGACCAGAAGGTGGTCCAGCACACAGGCGTGTACAAAGGGCACCTCCGACGCGTCGGCCTGCGGGACTTGAAGGGTTTAGGGTTTGGGGTTTAGGGCTTAGGGTTCAGAGTAGGGGCACAGTCTTCAAGCACAGTAATGATAGTAAGAATAGGAAGAGTAGTACGTATCTGCAAAGACAAACGGAACGAATGCTTAGAATTAGTAGCTTTAAGACTACTAGAAATAGTAATGGGACAAGGTCGGGGAACCAGTCATGTGGTTGAGCGGTTGAAGATTACAGGGGTCTCTTTCCGGCTGCTGCCTCCCCGGCATCCCTGTAATGTAATGTATACCATGCAATACGTAATATATTGTATACAGTGTGATCACATAAATTACATTGGACCAAAACAATACTGCTGATGATATAAATCCTGCATTACCTTAAGGACCCGAAACTTAGGGAACTGTGGTATATTCCTTGTTAATGCAGGACTTATATCATCAACCGTATAGCAGAACATCCCTGAGCCAGGAACCGCCTTGCTCTCGTTGCGTGTTTGTTGGGCCCAGGCGTCCAAGCTATGCCTAAAATCCCGTGGCTGCTGAGTTCATGAGCCCAAACAACTGTACACTGTCAGCTTTATAAGGGGTAATCTTCTCCCGAAGACTGGAAAGTGTACCGAGAATCTGCTGCAATTGGTAAATACAAGATGGATCGGCAATGAACGCAACCAAAGCGATTAGTGCAAGACGCCCACCCCTGAACCCTAAACCCCTAAACCCTACACCCCTAAACCCTACACCTTGCCAGCAGCCTCACCCTCCAACAACACAAAAAGGAGAAACTACGGTCTTAGGGCTCCCAACGTAAAGCCGCACCTGATTTAGGGGGCTAAAATATTACCAATACATTATATTTTTGGGGCTTCCTTTTTTTTCTAACTACAGATACATTCGGGTAACTATACTATATAATATCACCCAGAACCTTGTTCTACTTATGTAGGCCCCTATATCCCTACTAGATGAGACACAACACGCATTGGTGAACCGGGAGGCGCCCCCCCCACCCTCGCGGGCCCACCCGTTTACAACGTCCGGAACGAAATCTCCCATAACCGCAAACCCTAAACCCTAAACCCTAAACCCAGGCTCAGGGGCGGCCCCTCCCCCCGTCCACGCACCTCCACGTGCATACAACACATGAGTATATATGGGCATCAAGAGCATGTTCAGTGAAGAGAGTACCCGAGGGGTACGGCGGGCCGGGGAAAGAAGAGGGGCAACATCCCAGCCGCGAAACCCTAAACCCTAAACCTCTAAACCCTGAACCCTTAAACCGTGAACCCTTTATAACGCGGGACTGCAGAACAATCGCACGAAGTCGCGAGCTACGACCAATCCGCAAAAGAGAGTTCAGGGCTCCGACTTCAAGCATACAGCTGCTACACATTGGACATGCTCTGACGAAGATCCTCTTCAGACCACTGGATGTTGCTCCTCAGGTATCATCAACCGTATCTTAGGGGCCGAGTACCTTAACCTTAGACCAAAAAAGGTTAACTTGTTGAAATATATTAGGTTTAGATAAGCCCCGAAAGGTTAAAGGTTAATGTGCTTTTGTCATCGCCTGGTAGAAGGCAGTCGGGTCTGGCAGCCCGCTAAGCTGCTGAGCTCCCAAATGCTGTACAAGTGGGGAATCTGCCTAGGGGGGTAGGGTTTACTGCGCGACCTCTAAGTCTATACAACGCGGCAGTCCAGAATCATGCGACCGAACGTGGTGTAATCACCACGTGGGCCATAGTGTCGCCTTCCATCAGTGCCGGTGAAGATTTCTGCGGTTTTGCCGTTCACATTGGTGATAGAGAAGTGCTTGCCGTCGACATCACCAATCTGGGACACGTCAGGGACATCATACTATAAGCAGAAGGAAAAGAAGAGGCTTATGTCCGTTGCGACACGGGCTAAAGGTGCATAGCTTTCATTATGTATATAACCCTAAATCCTATAGCCCTATAACCCTATAATCCTATAAACCCTATAACCTTAGTATGAACCCTATATCCCAAAAAGGCCCGAAGCCCTAGATCGAGCCGCTCGCCAGTTGCCAATCTGCACAAAGCCATGTCCGAAGGCGATCCCCTTTGGTGCACCGGTTGCTCGCCCAAAAAGGCTCCAGCCATTCCTGGGTCCTTCGTGCACCGTGCCGTCATCGCCTGAAAACCAAGAGACATGGAGCTAAGTTTAGGCCTTTTCTGCTTTAGGGCTCATGTGACTCATGTGACACATCTTCTCCATCGGAACTCTCTGCTGCAACCGCTGAGCAAGCTACGCCAAATCATCGGAGCTTTGTTGTGTCGGTGGGAGAGGACAAAATGTCGCCCATGGTGCTCCCATTCACCCAAGCGCCACCAGTGGCCAAACTGGATGAAGCGGTCGCCGAACTTAATGCTACTTGTGAGGTGTGGCTCACGTTCCCAGCTGTGATAGTCCCTTCGCGGGCCAGAGTGGACGCGACCGTCGGAAGTGTAGATCACGGGAGTGTGGATGCTGCGATGCGAGAATGAGAAGTGGTGCCAATCCATCTGCGCCACCCGCCAGTCGCCAATCTGCAGAAAGTTGTGACCTGCCACACTCTGTCTGAAAAAGAATTCCCCCGAGAACACAGAAACAGCGCCCGGGGCCCCTTCCACCACTTTTGGGCAGAAGAGGGGTCTCTTTGGAACATCATCCGGCCTGCTGTGATTCCCGGGCAACTCCCCAAGATTTCCTCAATGCCACCACAGTGCCACTGCGCGTACCGATCGTTCACCTAGGTTTAGGGCTTAGGGTCTAGGGTTTGGGGTTGAGGGTTTTGACACAGGAAACAGCAATGTAGGTAGTTCTCTAAATTAGGGTCCCGTTTACAGGTCCCCCAAAATGGTACGGCACCCTTTTTAAATCCCTAGTTCAGAGAACTACTCATGTAGGAAATTCAAGACCACCGCGGACCACGAGAAACTAGAAACAAGTAAGAGACAACGAAAGCCTTCCACGATGGTCCAACGACCCGATAGGCGTAGTGATGCTGTGTCCCGGGAACCAGACGGCCGTCACCCGTGAAAATCTGAGGGCTCCGGTTGTAGCCCCTGTGGGTCACGTACAAGTGCCAGTCATCTGCCTCGGTTGTAACAGAGCAGCTGCTTGAGCTTGGCACTGGCCGCGTCGGTTCAAAACACCCAAAACGAGGGTTAACCTTGAATCTGTAAGGAGAGAGACGGCCAAGAAGAAAGAGAGAGAGAGAGAGAGGGAGATAAATAGGCGAAACGGGGCGTTCAGAAGAATCCCAAACCTTAAACGCTAAACCCTGAACCCTAAACCCTTAAACTCTAAACCCTAAACTCTAAACCCCTACACCCTAAGCCCTGAACCCAAAACCCTAAACCCTGAACCCCAAACCCTAAAGCCCTAAACCCCTAAACCCTGAAGCCCTGAACCTAAACCCGGCTGCCCAGCCACACCGAGGCGGAACTCCCCCAGCTGTATGAACCTGTCCCCGAACCTGGTTCAGGGTTTAGGGTGTAGGCTTTAGGGTTTAGGGTTTAGGATTTAGGGTTTAGGGTTTAGGGTTTCGGGTTTGGGTCTAGGGGTTCATGTAAAAAGAAACAACGGATGCCGGTGTTGCGTGTGGGATTGCGATCGTCCAAGCTCTGCGTGACTGCGAGGAAAAATTGAAAAAGATAAGATCTTAGGGCATGTTAGGTTTGGCCGAAGTTGTAAGGTATTCAAGGACGAAGCAAATCCCTAAACCCTTAACCCTAAAAGCCCTATAAGCCCTATAAGCCCTATAAGCCCTATAAGCCCTAAACCCCAAGCTAAACGCACCCCGGGCACGTCACCCCCGAAGCAGGCCCAGCTCGGAGATTCCATCCGTGCCAGTCACGTCGTGGCCCTTCATGCAGGGAGCCATCGTGCCTTCGGTTCCCCAAAGGCTCCATGTACCCATGTAGTATACACTTAGACCCTAAAGTACCTGTATAGGTACCATTGTAAGGCCTAAGTATATACTATATGGGTACATGGAGCCTTCGGTTCAGGCTGAGGGTATCTGAGGGTTTTGGGGTTTAGAGTTTAGGGTTTAGAGTTTACGGGTTTAGGGTTCAGGTTTTAGGGTTTAGGGTTCAGGGTCAACGGTTCAGCGTCTGGGTAGCTTGAATCGACAAAGCCAGCTTCAGGACGGGTTCCGGGATATAATATACGGGGTCTGAGGCTCTTGCAGCGGCCATACGAGACATTGGATGTCCGGAGGCGATGTCTTTCCCATAAAACCACGAAAGGGCATCCTAAACCCTAAACCCTAAACCTCCAAAAGCCCAAAACCCCTAAACCCTAAGGGCCCAGGTGCCCCCGGAAGATCTGAGCTGTATTCCCTGACTGGTGAGAGATGCTCATGTGGTCGTGGTCCATGGCTGCGATACGGAACCTACCGATCTGGATGAAGTTCGTACCGAAGGTGATGCCGTGAGGAAACCTTCTTTTCCACTGCTCAAAGGAACGAAAAGCTAAACCCTAAGTGCCATGAGTAAAACACATCACAACCAACCAGTTTCAGGGTTCAGAAGCGAGGAGCCCGATGGGTCTGTGCCAGGAACCGTAATCGCGGCGGGGACCGGGGTGGAGAGTGCCATCCCATCGGTAGATTTGCGCTGTGTAACCCTCCTGGTGGGAGATGCTGAAGTGGTCCCCATCTATGGCCGCCAGGCGCCACTTCCCGAGCTGAATAAAGCGATCGCCCCAGTGTCCGAACTCTGGCTTGCACTTTCCAAAAGCCTTCTCTGCGATATCGGGACAGGTCCAGTCGGCAGGCGCTCTGCGGACCATCTCATTGTGTTTATTCCAGTGGTAGTTGTTGCCTCGGTGCCGCGTCCCGTCGTGGCCTCGGAAAATCTCCATGCTCTTGCCAGTGGGAGTGAAGTAGAAAGTGAAGTGGTTCGAGTCACTTTCACCGAATCGCATTTTGCCCACCTGTATGAACCTGTCTCCGAAAGTGACGCCCGCCTGAAACCCCTCGCCGCGGTCGAAGGTGTCCCAGTCGGTGCCGCGATTCCCATGGTGAACTGAGGTGTCGTGGCCCCGCCAGATCTGGGCGCAAGTCCTTTGGCTGTGGGACACGGTGAAGTGATCATCATCATTGGCACCTATACGGAACTTCCCGATCTGGATGAACTGGAAGCCGAACCTCAAGAGACTCTTGCAAGCTCTCTTAGACATCACCTTCCAAAAAGAACTACCACAAACCCTAACACCCTAAACCTGAACATCCTAACACCCCGACGTGCAGACACCGTGAAGCTGAACCCCCTATAGCACAACACGAAACCCAAGACATACCTAAAGCTACCAAAACCTACTGTTTTGTAGGTTCTTATCATAAACCCTAATAAATGGAATCTATAGGGACCCTATAAAAAAGTAGGTTTGGGTAGGTTAAGGTATTCAATACAAGCCCAAGGACGAGATCCCTTTAGAGGGCCCGATCGCCCTGTTCCAGGCCACCCGATTGGCGTTGCGACGCCATGGCCGCCAGAAGGTTTTCCCATCGTTCCGCCACACGATGGGAACCTCACCTGGGGGGGACTTAGATTCAGGCCTCTTGTGGGCTTAGGCTCTAGATGGCTTTCGGGCTTGGGGTGTTAATGGGCTTAAGGTTTAGGGGTCAGGGTGTTAGTGTGATCTCATCCAAAGCACCGTTTTGGTGCTGCAGCACCAAGTGGTGGCCGTCCACGTCGGCCAAGCGCCAGTGGCCCATTTGAATAAACCGATCTCCCATGGCGAGACCGGGGCATGCGCCCCCAGAGACCCTTGTTTGGGGTGTAGGGTTTAGGGTACATAGGGGCTGAGGGCTTAGGGTATGGGGTTTAGGGCTTGGGGTATTGGGTTTAGGACCGGAGACTTCAACAGGCACTACATCGACTGCGAGAGAAAGAGAGCGAGGATGAGGTGAGCCCTGGGCACTCAATAAAAAGGGCCAGAAAGTTGCCAAACACCTCCGAAGGTCTTCCTCTCGTGATTGGTGACTTGTTCTGGAGGCGGGATCTCCTCGCCAGCTGGAGGTCCCCTGCCGGCGTGCTTGCACCCAAGCTCTGCCGCGCATGGCTTTGAGTCGAAGCCGGGAGTCTTGTAGACTTCCTTGCAGAAGAGCTTCTCGGGGGCCAGCAGTTGAATCGACGGTAGTCCCAAGTCAAGGCTGATGCTTGGGATGAGTCCGACAAGTGCGGATGCTGCAGCCTGAGCCGCGGCCATGATCCTTGACGTAACTGCGCTGGCACCCGGAACACACTGCACTGGCCCTGTCATGATTTTGACCATGGCTGCGCCACCAGCTAGGAGGGCCTTCGTGAGTTCATCCAGGATAAACGAGCTGGTGAAGACATGTTTGAATAGAGCTGGCAGAGCGAAGCCTGTGATGTCAACGTCGGCGTAGGCGTTGAGGGCGGCTGCTCCACACATCTCCAGTGCTGTCGAGGTCATGTTCAAGCTCGAGTTTGACAAAGATCCATCAGAAGCATGATCAGACTCCTGGACGAAGAACATGCCATGGCCCGAACTGAAACTCCTCGGCATACACATTCGGATTAGACAACAGTTGGAAAAGAACCCAAACCGTTTATTAATGCAAAGTCGAAAGAGGAAACTCTTCTGGAAGAAGCTGCAGCTTCAGTGTGCCCTGCGCTTTGGCCTCGGCATGGACCATCGGCCTGATGCTCAGTTTAAGATCGCTTTGGCTTCTGGTTTAGGGGGGGCTTTAGGGTTTAGGAGGATTTAGGGTTCAGGGTTCAGGGTCTATAGGGTTTTGGGGTTTGGGGATCTCTGAAAGATCTCTGCGAAGGGGGTTTCAGGTTTAGGGGTTTTAGGGCCCCGCCCGAACTGTAGGACTTGAAGGTTTAGGGCTGCTGTGCTTTAGATAGGGTTGAGGGTTCCGGGCTGGGCCTGAAGGTGATAGGAATTCCCGGCACGGGCCATATCGTGAGAACCGGTCCGGCACTCCTTTGTTGATGCTGAAGCCCATGCAAACATAACACGAAGTTCTACAAGTCTACACCTTAGCATTAGCACTTGTATTAGCATTGGTATCAAAGGCTGCCCGAAAATGACCCAAGGTTCACTCGTGCAGATGCCATCGCACTGGCTCCGATCGCAAAGCCGTCCTTGTGCGTGATCGATGGGCTTTTCATATCCACCTCGGAGTGACCACTCCTGAGATCGGGTTTGGGGTTTAGGGCTTTAGGCTTCCATACTTCTTAGAAATCCTAATGACACGATGTCTTCTGTTTCTTTTGAACGATTTGAGCGTGTCCAAAGTTCTTCGTGACACGCACGGTGCCCTCGACTTGGAAGTCCACTTCAGAGCTCACTTCGACCGTCCCCGTGAGTATGCCCTTCAAGTTCAGCTCTGCAACCATCTGAAGCATGATCACGATGCAGAACTTGCCGGCACAGATGATCTTCTTCTTGGGAGGATCTGGAAATCCTCTCATGGCCTGCCATGAATCACAGAGGCCGATGTCACCATTCAAGCGACATTAGTGGCAGTAGTAGTAGCAACACGCACATGACAAAGAAAAGAGCAAACATGAACGAATAAAACAGAAAACGCTGTCCCCACCCAGCCAAACCAGCAGTAGCATCCGCAGCAGCAGCAGCAGCAGCACCACCACCACCACCACAACCACCAAACACCACCACAACCAACCACCACCACCACCACCACCACCACCATCATCAGAACCACTACCACCACCACCATCGCCGTCCTAAGGAGCAGCAGAAGCAGCATTTTGCATCTTTCTCTTCGAGCCTTAAACGCGCAGCTGCCTTGTGCCTTGACAAGCGCTTGAATTGATGCCCTCACCATCCCTTTGATTGAGAACTCGGTCGTTCCTGTGCTGTGCTTGCAGACTCTGGGAACATGAAATCACGGACTAACATTGTATTGGTGCTGTTCAAAACTAGGTGGCAACCAACGGTTGCAGTGTCTTTAAGCACAAGCGACATGCAGCAACAAAAAACATCCTCAAACCCTTCCCAGTCTCCACTGTCGTAGACCGTCATTGTCACATCTGGGGAAAACTGCACAACGCCATCCAAAGCAACCTTAGCTGGCAAATATGGCAACTCGTCTGCAGATATCTGCACCAGCTAACGACAATGATAGCAATGAGGAGACATGAAAGTTGAACACAAGCATGCCAATGATGATGATGATGATCATCATCATCATCAAAACCTTCTTCATAACATCGACGACCAAAAACGATTCATGCTATCCCCTGTACCACACACACACACGGTCCGTCCGTCATCTTGCCGTCTCAGGCACATCCAACGCCGTCTCACACGAGCCTTGCTTGGTTCGTGAAAGCTGAACCGTGTTTAGGATTTAGGGTTGGGAAGCACCTAAAATTTCTAACAGACAGAAGCCCCAAGCACACAGTGTTTATATTTGACACAGGCCTGCACTTCCTGCAATTCCAAAACTTCCCCACTCCTCTCCCTCTCCCCCCCCGCTCATACCCCCTCGCCAGTTTTCTTAATAAAATCCAACATAATCCAACTCTGACAGGTCCTCCACAGATCTCCGCAGTGCCTTCTTCTACCCCGACGTGCACAGCAGAAACCGCGAGTCAAAGCCACTCGTAGTCCAAATCCACCTAGTCTAACCTAAGCCGATGCGAATGAATGACCTAACTGCCGAAACCCTCAACCCTACCTGGACCCTTGAGAACCTCCCTGCTTAGGGTTCCTTATTATGATTTCCTTATACAGGTCCTTAAAAAAGGTAGGTTCTTTGGGGTCTAGGTAAACCCTAAACCCAACCTGTAAGCCCTAAGCACCACGGAGAGGCGGGGCACTCGTAGTTCCTGAGGTCGTCTTGTGCTTCAACGCCTCGCGGCTCTTCAAGACTTGACCTGCCATCCTGGGTTCAACGGTTTAGGGTTTAGGGTTTAGGGTGTGGGATTTCGGAATTCAGAGAAGTGGTTTATAGGGTTTAGAGCGTCGGATATGCAGAATTTCATCTTGGGTTGGTCGATCTTGGTTGTCTTTTTTGGCATACAGTTGGCGGTGCACTAGGCTTCATGACATTTCTGGCTTAGAGCTTGCCAGGATGAAGCTGCCCGAATTGATCCTTTCGAACTGGAAATCTAATTTTAGTTTCCATAACAAAGAAACCATAGTATTTACTATAGATCCCTATTGGGGTAGCTTAATTAAATTAAATTCCTTAAACCCTAAACCCTGAACCCTAAAACAATTTTAAACCTGTCACAACTACAAAGGCCATGGAGTACCTTTGCCACAATCGAGGCTCTTGTAGGCTTGCACGAACTCATCTCCAGGCAATATCGCCATGCCTCATCTGGTTTTGGCAACCCAGCGAGAACCACAGAACACGGCCCTTGCACAAGTAAGCAGGAGTTTCAAATTCATAACTTGCGATTTCGATGGTCTGCAAGAAAAGAAAAGACTAAGCCAAATAACAATACAACACCTTCCATGAAGATCTGGATACCTCCAATGGTTTTGCCACCCATTCCATTCTTGGGAACTGCTCTCACCCCGAAGCCTTTGGAAAAGTCGGCGGCTGCCTGGAAGACACACCTGACGGAAAAACTCCCTGGCGAGAGTTCGACGTGGCTGCCAGCGTGACAGTCGCATTGGTCCCCAATCAACACTGAACACAGAGATAGCTGCTGCTTCAAACAGTTGATAAACTTCTCCATCTCGTTCCAAACTGCTGAGGCAAAACCTGCAGCCAACCTTGCCCCTGCCTCTGCGAATCTTTGGGCGTGATGCAGGACAGTTCCGGCAAGATTAATAGTGGTATCCGCCACCATCTCTCCTACATCCCGCGCCGCGTGGACGGCGCCGACCGCTACGTTCCCAATGCTATTCGCAACATTCTTGATCGACCCGGGCAAGCTTGCAAACTTGGTCTCTGCTGCCTTTACGACATGCCTCCCGACAACTGTGGCCGCATTGCCAATTGCACTGCCTATGGACATGCCTTCTGATGCAAGCGTGTTGGCAGCAGCACTGAACCCATCAGCAATGGCTCCGAAGAACTTTGCTGACACCACGGCGTCAAGCTCCTCATCAACGCTTGAGAGATCGGCGTTCAGATTCTCACCCACCGATGTCCTCGAGCGAGAAGCGCGAGCCACAAGAGCATTCTGCACAGACATCATCTTAGACCCGTTGAGCTGGTTCTCTGAACGTGAAAGGTGCACAGAATGCACAGTCACCGCAGCTTCCGACGAGTTGGTGCTCAATTCCTGCATGACTTTCATTGCTGAAGCCACGGAAAGCATGGCCACCATCTGGACCGGGTAACATGACCATCGCCATGTAATTTTCTTCATTATTTCACACGAAGGAAAGAAATACGGGCTCTTCTGCTGCGTGAGCTGGAGCCATGCTCGGCCGTTTGTTGGTTGGAACTCAAGCAAGTCAGACTTCGGACAGGCAAGCACTAGCGAGACTCAATTTTCAACACCTGTTAGGTGGACACCTCGTGGCATTGCGACGTTGGGAAAAACAAGCTCAGGTTTCGGCCCTGTAAGAACTCTTGCAAACAAAAGTAACAACAGCATGCGATGATGACTTCATTACACTTAGAGTCATCTGGGTTCTGTCTGTAACTAGGCCAGGATCTTCCTCTTCCTTCATGTTCATCTTCGTTGTCGTTGAATATGTGCACTACCTTAACCTACCAAAACCTACTTTTTTTTGGGGTCCCTATAAATTCCATATTAGGGTTTATAATAAGAAGCCTACAAAAAACTAGGTTTTGGTAGGTTAGACCTTATGAAATCAAGACCAGGGGGTTCTCCGAAGCCCCCAAAGGCTTCTCAGAAGCTGCCTCTGTATTTTAGCCCCTTCATAACTAGGTGCCCCAGTAACCCGTTAATAAGAAGGTTACCCTTTTTCTTAATATTAGGTTTTAATAAGGGGACCCCAAACCAACAAGGGCAAAAGGGTACTACTGGGGCACCTAGATAAGCAGTACGTTCCAAGAAGGGCTCTCAGAACCCCTTCGGTATCCTTCTGAGACCGGGTTCCTGCTGTTCCACGCATTACGATCCTCTGACCTAAGTACTGCTTGGTAGTAATCTAATCCACCACAAGCTGTCCTGTCGGAACAAGGCTACGACCAGGAACGAGGCAAATGCAGACGGAAGCCGTGGAAAAGCGCATCTGGCAGTTTCCTACCGTCGGAATAGGAAATCAAATCACGCACAGGCTCTGCTCTCAGAAAAAGGCTGGGACAAGGTCTTCAGCCCAATCACTGGGAAAGCGCATCTGGCACTCTACGCACCATTTTTTGTCACATGCTCGCCCGCAGCATCCTCAGGTGCACACTGCAAGCCCTGGAAACGGCATTTGGCATGCCCCGGCTGCTTGACTTGTATTGACTACAAAAGCCACGCAGAGCTAAACCCGAAGCAAAAGTTCAGGGGTTTAGGGTTTAGGGGGTTAGGGTTCAGGGCTTTGGGGTTTAGGGGGTTAGAGTTTAGGGTCTAACAATGCAGGTCTCCCGTTCTACTTGGAATAGCGTTTCGGCGTAGAAGGATAAAACAAGCACAACGTTACTACCAGGTAAGGCAACATGTCATTGATTCGTCTAGTGCCCGGTATAATGGTATAACCCACTGACGCAGTTGGTGTTTGCATCCCCAGTACATGTTATTTCCACCCCAAGCCGCAAGCCCTAAACATTATGAAAACTATTATATATATATATATAACTCCTTAGCCCTTGAAGCCAAGAAACCCTAAACCCTAAAGCCCTAAGAGTCTAACCTGTCGACGCCGTGTTCCTCGCTCGCCCAAGACGGAGCCTGGCCGGAGCGGCCCAGGAACTAAGGGCTTCAGAGCATGGGGCGGTTTAGGTTTTGGGGTTTAGGGTTTAGGGGTTTAGGGTTTAGGGGTTTAGGGTTTAGGGTTGAGGGTTACACGGTTTAAGATCATAGATATAGAGCTATGGGTTTAGGGTTACAGGGTTTAACACCATAGAAACAAGTTATGGGTTCAGGGTTACAGTGTTACAGGGTTGCAGGTTATATATATATATGTATACACACACACATAAAGATATGGGTTTAGGCTTAAAGAGTTATGGGTTTCGGTTTAGGGTTTGGGGTGTAGGAATAGCACCCGGATGTAAACTAAGTAGGATCAGTTCGGCTTGGGGTCAGAGGCTTCGGATTTAGGGTTTAGGGTTTAGGGCTTAGAGTTTAGGGTTTAGGGTTTAGGGGTTTAGGGTTTTAGGGTTTAGGGTTTAGGGCAGATGAGAAATATGCTTGACAATGTGATGAACCTTGAGCCCTGAACCCTAAGATTCGTAGCTATGACTTACTACACACTACCAGGTGCAAAGGGGTCGTGATTTCTTAACTTAACTTTTTGTAACCTTTGTAACCTTAGTTGCTGCTGCTGTTGTTGTTGTTGTCATCGCTGTGGCTATGAATGTGGTTATGAAGTTATACAGATCGGGTAGCTGACAAAGTCATGGCGCCCTGGGGAACCCTCTGTAATGCTACTCAGTTACTCTTGAAGCGGCACCTGATAGTTTGGGAATCCCACCAGAAACCCCGATTTGGCCAACAACCCAGATGAGCGATAAACAGTAAACCCTAAACCCTAAGCATTACCTGTTCTCTGCGGAACTGGCGGGGCTGAGAGATTCGTTGATTGAAGGATCCCGACGTGCCTCCCATGTAGAAACAAACTCTTATAAAGACCCTTTTAGTTAAATAAGGGGTATTGGGTTCTCTGGCCCTAAACCCTAAGCCCCAAACCCTAAACCCCAAAACCCTGAACTTTAAACTTATACTTTAAGGAGTATTGGGTTCTCTGCCGCAAGGACTCGGCCTCGGACGCGATCTCCTTCGCTTCCCATGCAGCTCGGGACGCAGACGTGGACTCCATCTCCTAGGTTCGTGCTTTAAGGAACTTAGCAGTAGTAGTAGTAGTAGT